ACGTCTTGCCCAGGTGCGAGGCTGAGAAGTCACGTGGCAGCCGGCCGAAACAATCTTGAGGAACTTCATATGATCCTCATCCAAAAAATTCGCAGCATGGTAAAAGTTGAGCTTGTGGCAGGGCAGCTCATCCACCAAATGCTGCGTGTAATGCATCTTCGGCCGAAGTTTGTACAAGCAGATGCCTTTTCGATGAAATCGTGCAGCAGCGTGAGCATAACTCAGAAGGAACGTATCGAAACACCATTGTGATTCGATAATCTCCTCTGGCTTGAGAAAGGGTTTACTGCCAGTTCCCCCAACACTCAATGCTGCATCCAAGCACCATACCATCGTTGCCCTGCACCTCGACCAATGCACCGTGTCTGAGGGTGCGTCACCAGACACCAGTATTTCCAGTTGACAGCAGTAATAAGCGGTAAACGCCAGCAAGTTTCTGGTCCGACTTGCTTTATACGGCTTGTGAGCTCAGGGTAGATAGCCTTCTTGTTGGCATGTAAAGTTTCCCACGTCAGCGGCTTCATCGAGCAATCCAGGCCACGATCCTTGCAGAAACTTTGGGCTTCCGCAGTCCACCTGTGAAGAAGCTGATCTGGGCTGCCATCGAATTGCAAGAAAGCTGCCATCTCGCCCGATCTCACGGTCTCAACCAGAATGGAAGCCACAAGGTCCCGGATGTAACCCAGATGGGCGAGGTGCATAACTTGGTTGAGCAGTGCATCTTACAGTATTCGAGCACTACATAACCAAAAGCCATAAACAAGCCATCCAGGAATGCTGTTAATGCGACCTAGAGGCTGTCAAACAGGCGGCGGCGCTTGGTGAAGCCCTTGACTGAGCACCAAACAGATCGTTCTTCTTGGTGTGGCAGCGGCTCATGGTAGCTGCATGTAGAGCGCCACAGAGCTGACGAAGAAAAGTCTGTGAAAGTCAGCTGTTTGTCCCGGCTCGATGCCCAACACCAATCGCATATCGAAGGCTTGTTATAGTGCCTCTGAAGATTGTGTGATTTTGCATGAGCTTCCATATCTCCAGCCCAATATGAGAAGCATGCTCTGATCCCAATGTTTTGGCCAATCTTTTGGGCTCGCGCTGAGCCAGCTGGCCACGGAACGTCGTTGTGGTCGCAGGATGGAAAAACGCCACGTTCCAGTGCTCGAAGATCCCAAGCGATGATGTCAGCGATGCAGCGTCTCGTTTCGGGCGCGACACGACTGTTCGTGACACCAACAATGCCTTTAATTGTTGTTGTCCATCATATACATATATATATATATATGTATATGGTCAGCTAGCTCTGTTCCCAAAGGCTCCAAAGCATCGTCATGGCCAATACTTTCGTTTTGGGTGAGTGCTGGGCTATTTCTGCCAAGCGGCGTTGCGTCTGGGGTCTAAATGTCGTCTGTGCCAAATGTAGCATCTCTGCAACTTTTGGGAAGAGTCTATTGACGAAAAAGTATGCCATACTACTTAAGAATACCGCCGGCCCTCATCCCTCAATATACATGCTACAATACTTACCATTCCCGACAGAGCTGGAGACGAGAGAGAGCACGAAAGGACACAGACACAAACACACCAAACACATATATTGTACACGAAACACGACTGGCCCACCCACATGCACATACATATATACATGTATATGTATATATATATATATATATACACATATATATATATATACATATGAAACAAAAGCCCTTCCACAAGAAACACCTACACCCACCCACCCACATGTACACACAAACACACATAACACACACCCACACAGACACACACACACATGTATAACAGCACACACACACACACAACCACACAACACACAGAAACTCACACCCACACCGGTACCTATATACACACCGACACATGTATATACATATATTATACATACATACATATACTGGTCGCTGCTCGTTGCAGCTCAGATTCGCCGCTGGGCATGCATTAAGGCTTTCGGGTATTAGTATAGTGCTTGGGTTTGGGGCTTTAAGGCCGGGTGATGCAAAGTGCCGCTCAAATGCAAGCTTCGGTTCAGAATTATAATTATTGAAAAGCCTTAAAATAAACCCAGCACCCTAAAACCTTCAAGCACCGAAACCCCTAAACCCCAAGACCCCCAACATCCTAAAACCCAAAACCCTAGCAAGGGTTTGCGGGGTTTGGGTCTGCTGCAGCCGATCGCGACATTTCCCCCGCTCTGCGTGCGAACTCCACGTCTTGCGATTAAGGGCCCAGGCCAATAGTCTCGAGCATTACCGTACCGGTACCGTGCAGCGGTGCTTACGTATACTATATACCCCTAGCCTATGGCTTATAGGCCCCGTTTGCAAATAGCAACATCGATCAGCGGCTCAGTCCGTGGAAGTTTGCAGCCTCGGCTGCTTCTCGAAAGCCTGCATCCCTGAATCGAAACCTGCATAATTGAAGCAAGGTGCCATAAATAAAATCGTCGCAACGTGGATCTCTCGAGGCTGCGTGTGTGCACCGAGCTTGCTATGCCTGGGATCCCAGATAGTGCGAGTACTAGGCGGAGCACAGTAGTAGCAAGTAGTAGTGGTACTAGTAGTATATATAGTCGCAGCAGCAGTAGGAGCCGAGGAGGCGGTGGTAGTCGTAGGTAGGTGGCAGTGGTGGTACCATGGGTGGTGGTGGGTGGTGACTAGTGTACTCGTGGTACCGGTACCATACTAGTATGTACTTCTCGTGATAGTGGTACTATAGAGTTGTAAAGTACTACTATATAGCCGTAGCCATATAGTAGTATATAGCATAGGTACTGGTACGGTACGTAGTAGTAAAACGTTAATTAAATGCCAAGCTTCCAACCAGTCGGCCGTTGAAGTCTTCGCTCGCGAACGTGTGGTAATAACGGTAGTTGTACTTCTCCACGGAGCAGAAACGGATGAGCTCGAGGATGCCCTTGGCCCGGGGGTCGTGGCTAGCTACACATGTAATTAGGGTTTTAAGGGATTTATCGCGCTAGGGTGGGCTTGGGCGTTTGCTTACGGATTTTGTCCGAATTCGCGTTGGGGAGCTCGGGATTAATATGGTTTAAAGAAAGCCCTTCGAGAAAACCATTGATGCAAGCGGCATGAAGCTTGGGGCGGATCTGAAACAGCGGCCTTGAGCCAGAGCTATGCATCTTCGCGAGCCAGCCGTAGGCGTTCAGGAACTCATCCTTGAAAGTCCAAGCCCCCCAAATATTTACTATATGTGTACTTAAATAACCCAAGCCTATAGCCATATATATATATATATATATATTCGCTAAATGATAGCTAGGAACCGTGCAGTGCCGCATTCGCTGGATCTCCGCGTCCGTAAGGTACCGGCCTGCTCGGAGCAGTTCATCAAATCTGCCAGGTAGAACCTGGCTGTCTTGGGAATCTAGGGCCCGGATTTAGTTGAAGGCTTTTATAATTAAGGCTTCTTAATTTAATTAGGGTTCAGGGTTTAGAGCAAGGTTTAGGGCTTGCTGGGTTTCTGAGCAACATGCATTGGCCCATAAGCCGCATTGAGCGATCACCGGCATGTTCATCTTCGTAGAGCAGCATCGTCGTCCGGTGAGCCAGCCAGCTTGTAATAACCCTCGCCTCGATACATATACACGGCATCATGGATGCATATTGTCGTCTATTTGCAGCTAGTGGCGTTATAAGCTTTAGCCGCCATCTCGAGCTCGCCGGCTTTGAACCGGAGGAACTTGGAAGTAAACTTCGGCTGAGAATGCCTGAGATTCTTAAGCTTCCAGTCTGGGTACTTATAATACTGTTCGGAAAATTACTTTATATCAGCAAGGGCTCAGAACCTTTCGCTCCTTACACCACGAACAAAAGTCGCGGTAAGCGTTGGCCAGCATGGCATTCACATCGTCGCCAGCCCAAATCCCCTGCTACATGGTACATATTGTAGACACAGATTACTTAAGGTTTAGGCTTTGGGGTGTAGGCTTTGGGGCTTGGCGGGTGTGGTTTTGGAATTGTGCCTTCTGCATCAGTAGGTCGATGCACCCGGCACCAGCCCACAGCATAATGCCAAGATTTATGGTGTGTAGGGAGCACCAGCGAAGCATCGTGGGCCTCCATCCGAGGATCTCCGAGATGACACCTGCGTGCAAACATTGGTTTTTGCTTCGAGCCTGGACAAGCAATTAAACTAGTTTGTGATTGCGGGCTTCTACGGGGCAATTTATAATTGTAAGATGTAACACTTTCGGATTTCAATCCAGCGGCTCGTCCTTCCACCATCATCCACCAAGCTAGTGCAGGCCTCGGCAAAGTTCTCGGGTGTCCGCCTGGGCATACTTTCCATTGTTGACATTCGAGGGTCATCGAAGAAAGAGTCCAGACGGGCGTGGCAGTGGTGGCAGACGGCGTTGCTGCTCCATCCGATTTTTTTAAACCCGAGCCATTCCTAGGTAGCGACTACAAAACACCCAGAAAGAGAGAGAGAGAGAGAGAGAGAGAGAGAGAGAGAGAGAGAGAGAGAGAGAGAGAGAGAGAGAGAGAGAGAGAGAGAGAGAGAGAGAGAGAGAGAGAGACAGAGAGAGAGAGAGAGAGAGAGAGAGAGAGAGAGCGGGAGCGAGAACAACAAAATCGGCTTCGGGGTCTAGGGTCTAGAGCAGATATCATGATGAATCGAAACCGGTTCCGATACAATTCATACCCGCCAAGTCTCTTTGTAAAACTTCCAGTCTGCCCTTAGCTCGGTAAGAGCGGCCAGCGGTGGCTCCATGTCGGGCTCGCAGACCTCTCCTCGGAACAAAATGTTCAAGGAGTCGACCACCTCAGCACAGGAACATATCGTTCAGGTTTCGGTTGGGGGTTGGACGTGCATGCCATCGGAATTTATTTGGGTCCAAGCGACAGGCCTCATAAAGGCCTGAATGGTCGAAAACCCGGTCGACAAAGACTGCCAGGGATGATATCTGACATGTACAAGGCTAGATAGGGTGGGTTTAGCTTATTTAGAGGGTGTTACTATGTCGGGTTTCACACCTCCCTCAGGATCCACAAGGGGAAGTGCGTGGTCATCGAATGCGTCCGCTCATCTAAGACCAGGCCTAGACTCACCTGGGTGAGTTTCTCTTCATTTGTCCATTTCACATCATCGGCATAGAGATAGACTGGCAAATGCTTGCAGTTTCCCCCCTGCTCAGCGAGTGGATGTTCGGGGCCCCATTCCGCGTGCGTGAACATGTGGCTCCAATATTCCCGAATCGCTGCAAAGTCGGGCACAACGAGGTTGTGCTTCAGCAAGTGAGGAATCAATCGATGAGGGAGGACCACCGGTAATTTCCTGAATCCCAACTAGCCACGACCACACTCTTGGTTACGAATGATATTAGGGTACGGTTACTGGGCTTCAGGGTTTATAATCGAGGGTTCGGGGGCCTAGGGGTTAGGGGCTGATTGTTCGGAAGCTTTACACGAGCACAGTCGGCAATCGCCTCATCACCACAGTGGGGTCCGTGGCACTCTTCATCATGGGGACCTCCACCGTATCCATCGGCACCTGGGTTTAGGTTCGGGCTTTAGGGTTTTAACGTTCCAGGGTCGAGGCTTTATTGTTGGGAATCTTCGGCATCTGAGTCGATCGCCATATCCATAGCTCCATCGAGGATTCTCAACGAATCTCGCTGCAGATTCTGCGGATGTTTCCCAGTAGCACCTGCCAGCCGAAGCCTCTGTGCTGTCCGTGGCAAAGTTCCGCCAGCTGCTTGAAGCTCCTGCATCGACGGGGGATATAACGAGTTCGAGGGGATGTTACTAAGTTACACGGAGCCAATCCTTATGGGACTCTTCCAAGAACTGCCTGGCTCCGGCGAAGCTGAGGTCCTGGATTGTCGACAGCTGCGAACGGAATCGAGGCAGGTTTGATCTGGATTGGCTTAGCACCGGACCCCTTTACCAGTGCATCGGAGGATGTGTCGCCCCAGTGGCCCCAGGTCGTCGTTCATAGATTCTGCGACAGGGGGTTGTGCTAGCTAGAGGTGCATGTTTATCGGCTGCCATTCAAAGCATAAGACCTCTAGAGTGCATTTTCGGATCCATGTGCGTTGAGAAAGCTTCCCCGGCACATTCGGGGGTCTGGCATCGAGATGCTTGAAATCTGCTAGCCGCCATGGGCCGTGAGACCCAGGTTCCAGCCCGGGCCCACAAAATTTGTGTGCACTTCTAACTGGAAAAGAGCACGAGGATCCAAGCTGCTAGTCTGCTTCTAGAACTAGCAAAGCGGCAACTCGAAATCCCGTAAAAGATGCTGCCGAGCTAATAGGACTCTCTGCATGTACCAGCTTATGGGCCCTCTAGCGGCTCTAGCGACTAGCGACCCCGAACTTTATAAGCTATCAATCTTATCCCGGCAACACCTCAACAGCTCGCCAGTCCACGGCACACCCAGCCAGGCGCTCAGCCTTGATCACTTCTTCTTGCCGCCGCGGCCCTTCGCCTTCGCTTTGGCCTTCGGCCCTGCCTGGGCTTGGGATGGCTCTCGTCAGCAACCCCGAAGCTTCACACCCCAAACCTAAGCCCGAACCCTTAAACCCTGAGCCTAGCCTAGACCCTAGGCCTAAACCTAAAGCCCTATATAGACCTTAAATACAGCCCCTGTAAACCTAGCCAAGGCCTATTGCAAAGAACCTAAATAAAACCTTAAACCTAGCCTATGCCTTATTATCATATATACATATATACATACTTATGATCGAGAGACCCTAACCCTAAACCCAGCCTAAATCCTAAACCACAGGAACCTTTTTGGCAATTCGATGTGGGATTGCATGTACACTACTGAAAACAGCTTGGGCTCAGGAGGCTTGGGCGGCTTTCCTAGCTTATAATATTTGGGCACCTAGCTAGATAGCTACTGGTTGGGTGGATTTATAAGGACTTAGAGGTTATGGTTCCCTCGAAGCAATGTCACCCCAAGGTATGCTCGAGGACCAAGTACTGCTACAATGCAATCTGGCGGCCGACATCTTCTTCATCGCATTCGTCGACTGCACATAGTTAGTAATCTTTTGTGTGACCTCGTCCAAAAGCTCCTGAAGCCGATCACCCGAGCCCTTGTCCACCTCAGCCTGCAGCTTGTCCCTGGCTTGCTGAAGGCTCTCTTTGTGGTTCTTGAGATCCGTGAGGAAGCCGTCGCGGATCGGCTGCGACCTGGAATCAAGATTGGACTGGCAGAGGATCTAAATAAGGCTAGGCTTCAGGGCTTATATTAGGGGCTTAATATCGAGACCCTAGCGTGAGTTTGTTGATTAAGGTAGGGTTACGTATATATATATATATATATATTTTTTTCATATATATATATATATATATATAGTATATGTATGTCATATGTGCAGTTTGGGCTCTCGGTTGGGATTTGCGATTAAGGGCTTTAGGTTTTGTGATTGTTGCATCAGGGATACATATCCTTGGCCCCGGCGATCTCCTCCTGCAGCACACTCGACTCCTCTAGCTTTGTGGAAGCCAGGGCAATCTTGTTCTTGCACTGGTTCGTGAGGGCGGTTTTCTTCTTCTTGTCCATGGTTTCCGGTTGGGTTGCCAGGGTCGAGCCTGCATGGTGGTCCTGAGGGGCAATTAATGGCAGTGCAAGCTTAAGGGTTTCGGGGCCCTGAGTTTCAAACCGCAGAAAAACTACATTCTACTATATAGGCACTTTGGATCTTGTGGGTTTGGTGTTTAACTCAGCACAGTGGCATCGCCGCTCGAGTGGCCCCCGCATCGAGCTGCATCTGGTCGGTCTGCAAGGTCGTCGTTTTCGAAGACTTGTCGTTTTTCGTCAAGACCGCCTCCTTGAATGTCCGTACCAACGTCCACTCCTGTCAAGTTTAGGGCTAGAGGGTTGAGGGATATTTAATGTTCAAGACATAACCACATTTTGTTTTTGCAAGCCCCGCCTTACATCCAGGTAAATCAGGGTGTTTCAATATGAAAGGAGGTTCCTGACTATCCTCGGGAAGGGCGTCTTGGAGGGCCATCTTTGAGCGGTAAATCTCCTCTGCATGCTGGTCCCCCTCTTTGGCCCGTAGGTCACACAATCTCATGTAATGCTCCTCGCCTCGCATGATGTGCTCTACGGTAGATTCTGCCTTGCAGCAGATGCTCGAGCTGAGCCAATCGCCACCAGCTTTGAGGTACTCATTGAACATGTCGTCCAGCACTTTAGAGCCTGGGGGCATCATTTCAGAACACTCATGTACATTGATATATGATAGCAAGAATTCTAGAAGTCGTCCACAAGCTTAGCACCGGTGCCGAAAAACCGTAGAACCTAAGTGGTTCACATTAATATTATTGCAAGCTTAGGACCGGTGCCTCGCGTTGCCTTGCTGGCGGCTTCTGCAACCTCCGGTGGGCAGTTCGTGCCTGGGCCATCAGTGGCTTGAACCATGCTTTTGAGCCAGAGTATTTAGGGGTATATTCCGCTTTAGGGTCCCGGGTAGACGGTGAATTGATGATTCATGATCAGATCCACCACACTGGTGAATATTGTGTGATTGATGAAGTTGTTCGGATCTGGTACGGCTATATTTAGACTCTGGGCTTAAGGGGCTTTAGGCGGATGTTAGGGTTTCAGGATTGAAGGCATATATGGGGCTTGAGGCATTCAGAAGTTTAAGGGTTTACGGGTATTGGGGTGTGGGTGAAGAGTCTCTAGGAGTTCTCTAGCGATTGTTGTACATAGTTGGATGCAATTCGGATCAAGGAGACAGTTCAGGGCTTCAGGGTTTAAAGAATTTGGAGATTTCAGGCTTTACCTAGCTAATAATATCAAAGCCAAGCACTGCGGATGGACCGGTGGAACTTCATGAAGACATTGTGGGCCACCCTCGTCATCCACTCCTCAGTGGATTCGCCTTCCTTCTGGGTAAGCGATGCTTCCTGCCATGTATCGTAGAGGGTTTAGGGGCAGCGTGATCCCAAAACTGTCCGAAAGGCCTTGGAAGACCCCCACTACCCCTGAAACCAGCCTCGGGACTAGCACCCTTTCCAACGAAACTCGGGTCCTTCAAATCGAAAGAGTTGGGCTTCTCCAATGCCTTGAAAACGGCCTCCGTCCTGGCCGACGTCTTGCTGCGAGCCTCAACCGGGGCCAGCTGGAGGACCCCTGGATCCGGATGCTGCATGGCTTCCTGCTGCTGGTCGCCTGTTCCCTGCGTGGCTTGATCTGCTTGCATCGTCGGGACCCCTGACTCCAAATCCGGTGCTTGCTGCACGGCTTCATGCTGGTCGCCTGTTCACTGCGTGGGCTCTGCGTCTGCTTGCAACGGGACCCCTGACTCCGAATCCGGTGCTTGCTGCATGGCTTCCTGCTGCTGGTCGCCTGTTCCCTGTGTGGCCTCTGCGTCTGCTTGCATCGGGACCCCTGACTCCGAACCTGGTGCTTGCTGCGTGGCTTCCTGCTGCTGGTCGCCTGTTCCCTGTGTGGCCTCTGCGTCTGCTTGCATCGGGACCCCTGACTCCGAATCTGGTGCTTGCTGCGTGGCTTCCTGCTGGTCGCGTGTTCCCTGTGTGGCCTCTGCTAGATTTGCGTCTGCTTGCATAGGGACCCCCGACTCCGAATCCGGTCCTTGCTGCATGGCTTCCTGCTGGTCGCGTGTTCCCTGCGTGGCTTCTGCTTGCATGGGCTGCGAAACCACTCCTTCCATAGCCTGGTTGCCTGTTCCCTGCGTGTCCACCAAGGTCTCCGGAAGCGGGAGCGACGACGGCTCCTGGGCACAGCGGTTCGTAGTACTAGCACTGTGGAGGTTGTACGAGTGCTATAGCTAGCAGCAGAAAAACAAAGTAGAAGTGATAGATATCTAGTATACAGTACTAGTCCTAGTACTAGTACTACGGTTGATGATACAAATCCTGCATTACCTGAAGGACCCGAAACTATGGGAATTATGGTATATTCCTTATTATGGGTAATGCAGGATTTATATCATCAACCGTAGTACTACTACTACTACTACTACTACTTGTAACTGTACATAGTCTGCGGGCTGGCTGTTGTGCTGTATGCTTTTATGCATGCTCTTCTGTAATTCGTATTCATAACATTTTTGGCTCAAGTGAGCACGGCAGTGTGTCGTTGGTAGCTTCTCGTTGCCGCGACGCAATTGCGCGCAGGCCGTCCTGGGCGGACGTTCGACCTGTCACGGTCGTTGGACTTTCTGCTTGGACGGAAAACGAGGGTGCGTGCTGCCCCTTTGGGTTTCCGTTCTCCACAATTGGGGGCTGTTCTGGGAAACGGCCACCCAGGCGGCTGCTGCGCCGCAATCTTTTAACGTGGCCTCGAAGGCGCGCTTGTCGTGCGCCTTGAGGCCGTGGTCCTGTGTGGCACGGGGCTCTCTCCTTCGCTAGGCGACCATGAGCGCTGAGGTCGCAGGTCAGCCGGAAGGAGCCACGTTGCTGAGGTGCATCGAGGATGGGTCAGTGGAGTACCCGGAGAAGATGCCCTTTATGTACTGGCTCCGTTGGCGTAAGGAAACGGGGTCCCGTCCCACCAAGAAGAAGGACGGACGATCCACGACGCTAGCAGATGAACAGCGTCTGTGGAAGGAGACGATGGAATTCCTCTACGACAACTTCGATGCCGAAGAGGAAGAGGAAGAAGATGAAGAGGAAGATGAGGAAGCTCCAGCTGCGGAAGCGGGCCCGGGTGCTCAGGATGGCGATCCGGGCCCCAGCTCTGAAGAGCTTCTGCCGGAGGCCGGGGTACCGGCTCCGCGTCCTGCCGCTGCGCCGGCGGACGTGGCCGAGACGGCGCGCCGTGTTGGTGCGCTTGCTCTCTCGCCGGTGGCCGGCGGCCCGGCCCGTTCCGGGCCTCCCTCGTCTGCTGGGACGGGTGGTCCCGTCACGGCGGAGACCCTGCAGGCGGACCTGCGGGAGCTCTACCGTCCCGACCAGGAACCGGTCGCGGATTACCTGACGCGGGTTTCAAGGCTGGTTGTGGCCTTGAAGGCGCACCAGGCAGAGGTCACGGTGGAGGATCTTGAGAAGATCACTACCAAGGCCACCATCCTTGCCGAGGAATACGGCAAAATGGGAGGTGACTGGCACCCTGCCAGGATGGTGCGGGCCCTGCGCACCAGGTTTACCGTTGCCGCGGTTTCTCTTGGGTCGGAAGACCGAGAGGAGGTCGAGAAGGAGATCTCGTGCCTCGGCGAGCTGATCTTGGCCCTGGGAGGCAAGAGCAGCGGCGATCCCGAGAAGGTTTGGAGCACTCCTTCTTCTGTCCCGGCCCTGGCGGCCCGGACGGGCGCCGTTGCGGAGTCGGGCTCTAAGTCCGGAGCACCGGCGCCTCTCCCGGTGGACCTTCAGCTCGCGATCCCTGAGGATCCGCAACCTGGTCCGGGGGACTCACCCCTGAAGTCCCGCCTTGCGGCTCTGGAGATAGAGCTCGAAGGGCTTAAGAAGGATAAGCCCGGCGAGCCTCACTCCGCCAGCGGCGGAGCCGGAGAGCTCGCTGCAGCTTTGGCGGCCCAGACCGAGGCGCTCAAGGAGGCCTTGGCGTCTCGCGGAGGTCAGACGTCGATCACGACCGTGAAGACGGACCTCCAATGGCCCTCGCTCACCGACGATCGCTCCGACATCCGGGACGTGGTCCAGTTCTACGAAGAGTTCGAGGACGTCTGTGGCCTTGCCAACAACTGCAAGGGGATGAATTTCCGGGAGAAACTCATCGCCCTTCGTGCTCGCTGCCGCGGCTCGAGGCTTAAGACCTTTACTAACGTGTACAAGGCTGCCTCCAAGACCGGGGAAGTTACTGAGAATCCCCAAGCCGTTTACGAAAGGATCAAGCAGCGGCACCTTGTCTTCGGCGAGAGCCGAGAAGAGAAGGAGATGAGGGTGGACGCGGAGCACGTCGCCCTCACTAAGGGCCGTCTCACAGGGCACCAGTTCGAGCCCCTGTTTGAGGCCTCCATCGCGGAGCTGGAGAGTGTGGGTCTTGGCAAGACAGCGAGGGAGCTCTTCCTAAGCTACTTGCGCAAGATGCCTCCACATCTCCAGAAGGAGATCCGCGGTGATAAGCGGTTGTGGCCTAGCGACGGCGCATCCGCAGGGCTTCGAGGCCCTTCGACCTGGGAAGAAGCGCATAAGGTCGTCCTCGAATATGAGCAGCGTGAGGCTGCGCATCGGGTGACGGCTAATAGCGTGTACGCAGGTTCGACGGAAGACCCAGCCCTGTCCGCCGCGCGGAAGGAGGTCGAGAAGCTGAGGACGGAGCTCAAGGCTTCTAAGGCCGCGGCCAAGGCGGCCGCCTCTTCCACGCTTGCCGCTGGTCCGAAAGGAAATGGAAAAGGTAAGCCTATCTGTTTCCATTTCCGCGACCACGGGAACTGCCCAAAAGGGGACGCGTGCCCTTACTCGCACGACAAGGAGCTCCGCAAAAAGGCCCTCGCGGCCAAGAAGGAGCGGGACGCGTCCACCCTGGCGACAACGCCGGGGAAGGGCAAGGGCAAGGGCAAGGGTGGACCCGGAGGGCAGCCCAAAGGCAAGGCCAAGGCCAAGCCCAAGGCGAAGTCCAAGGCGGGC